TCTGTGTATTGATGCTCTGTCCATGCTAGGGAATGCAGTATATACATTGTGAAACGTAGGTTTCTTATGAGACAAGCCCTCCCGCCATCATATCATGCCTTATGTGGGAAAGACATGCCAATAACTTCAAATCTATTTGGGGATGATCTTGCAAGGAAGGTGAGAGACATTTCTGAGGCTAATAAGGCTTTCAATGTTTTGTCTTCACGAAAACAGGTACAGCGAGGAGGTTGGAGTGGCGGCCAGAGAGGGCGAGGGGGCTATAGCCAGTACAGAGGCTCAGCAAGGCCTTTTTTACGGTCGGGCCAGCGGGGCCGGGGACAACGGCGACCCGCATACATGCATCAAAGTCAAAGCCAGAGCCAGACACAGAAAAAAGAATAGCCCCTAAGGTGAGTGTTCCATCTGGTAGAATCGGAGAGCGTTTAGAATTTTGGAAATCATTGACTGATGATGAATGGATTTTGGATACTGTACATGGTCTTACACTTGAGTTTGTAGAAATCCCTGTGCAGCATAAATTGCCAGGACCAGTAGCTTTTAGTAAGGAAGAGATGGAGATTGTTGATTCTGAGGTGAATGATTTAGTATTCAAAGGGGCAATAACTCAGTCTATTCATGAGAAAGGTGAATTTGTTTCTAATTTGTTCCTGGTCCAAAAGAAAAATAGTAAATTTAGGCCAGTCATTAATTTGAGGAAGTTGAACGAGTTTGTGGTGTACCACCATTTTAAGCAGGGGACCTTAGATGTTGTACTAGAATATGTAGAGAGAGGTGATTTCTTCACTTCTATTGATCTAAAGGATGCATATTTCAGTATACCAGTGAACAAACATCATAGGAAATACCTGAAATTCAAATGGAGAGGTATACTATATGAGTTTATGGCTATGCCTTTCGGTTTGACAAGTGCCCTTCGGATATTTACCAAAGTACTGAAGCCAATTATGGCTAAAGTTCGCAGCTTGGGTATCCATGCTTTCTATTACATAGATGACTCTTTGGTCAAGGCTGCTGACAGAGAGGTTTGTGAAAGGAACTGTAGGGTGTTAGCTGGAGTTTTGGAATCTGCTGGGTTCCAGATTAGTTCCGAAAAATCTTTGTTTTCTGCTAGTCAAATGGTCATTCATCTTGGGTACTTGATAGATTCTATCACATTTACCGTTTCGTTACCAGAACAAAAGGTGAAGAAAATCATAGATGCATGTTCCCATGTCTTAGGTCAAAAGTCAATTTCTCTAAGGGAACTTGCTAGTCTCATTGGCTTGTTTACGTCATCTCTTAGAGCAGTTCGGCTGTCAGGGCTATTTTACAGATTGGTAGACAAGGAAAAGACAGCAGCCCTACATAATGGTTTGTCTTATGACGACAAGGTCAGTTTGTCTAGGTTGGCACAAACGGAGATAGTATGGTGGAGAGATAAGGTGAACAGTATGAATGGTCGGGCGATAAGACAAAGTGATCCAGATGTGATTATGGAAACTGATGCATCTGGTGATGGATGGGGAGCAAAGTTTGGCTCTCAGATAACAAAAGGTGTTTGGTCAAAAGCAGAACGTGAACATCACATAAATTTTTTGGAATTAAAAGCTGTCTGGTTGGCATTACGATGTTTTTGTTCAGACATGTCTGATACTCATGTCAGGGTTGTGACGGATAACGTCTGTACAATTTCATATGTTAATAAGCCTGGTGGAAATGTAACAGAGCTGAATGAGTTAGCAAAAGAGATATGGCTGTGGTGTACGGAAAGAAATATTTTCATTTCTGCCTGCCACATACCGGGTGTTTTGAATGTTGATGCTGATTACTTATCACGGTCAATGCAGTCTTCGGGAGAGTGGTCATTACACCCTCTGATATTTGACAGGATATGTGGGTCATTTCTTCAATCCAGATGTTGACCTATTTGCAAGTAGGTTGAATTTTAAAGTTACCAAGTTTGTCTCATGGTATCCTGATCCAGATGCTTGGTTTTATGATGCCTTTTCTATGTCATGGTCAGACTACTTACCGTATATTTTTGCTCCTTTCGGTCTGATCAGCCGTGTACTGCACAAAGTGAAGGAAGACAAAGTAAGTATGGCAATAGTAATCGTTCCCTTATGGAGAAGTCAAGCGTGGCTACCTACTCTATTAAATATTGTTGTGGATGCGCCCGCACGCCTGCCGAGGTGGCGAGACTTGCTATTGTCCCCACAGGGGGAGCCGCATCCCTTAAGAAACAGCCTGAGACTGATCGCATGTTGCGTGTCAGGAGATCTCTCCAGAAGCAGGGCTTTTCACGACAGGCTGCCACACTTGTCTTTTCCTCCTGGAAACAGTCCACGTCCAAGCAGTATGACTTGGCATGGAATAACTGGGTCTCTTGGTGTGGTGAACGACAGGTTGGTGCCAATCATCCCACTATCAAGGAAGTGATTTCCTACCTCACTCATTTGTTTAATGTAGGGAAATCTTACAGTGTTATTAATACACATAAGTGTATGTTGTCCCAGACTTTGCCATTACTAGGCCATACAGTATTGATGAACAATGCCCTAATTTCTAGGTTTATGAAGGGGGTATTCAACACTAATCCTCCTAAGCCCAGGTATTCATCGACATGGGATGTGGCACCTTTGCTGAAGTATTTGGGTGATATGTTTCCTTTGACAGCCCTGGAGGTGGATTCATTGACCAGGAAATTCGTTTGTTTGATAGCACTTACAACAGCACAAAGAGCACAAACATTGGTTAATTTAAACCTTGAACATATGCAGGATTTTGGACACTATATTGTTTTTACAGTCCCAGAACTTATGAAAACATCCAAGCCATCAAAGCCATTTTATAAAGTAACATTGTACAAATATTCTCAGGAAAGATTATGTGTAGTTTCAACCTTAAGATGTTATGTGTCACAGACAGTAAACATACGGAAGAGTAATAAACTTTTAGTTTCTTTCAGAAGAGGTTTGCAAGTGTCCACTTCCACAGTGGCAAGATGGATGAGAGAAGTGATGAGGGCGGCTGGAATTGATCGACAGTTTAAGCCTCATTCAGTTAGAGGAGCGTCTGTGTCGGCAGCATACACGACGGGGACATCCTTGAGGGACATACTGGAAACGGCAAACTGGGCATCAGCCGAGAGCTTTAGGAGGTTCTACTTAAGAGATATTGATGACCCGGGTTCATTTTCAACCAGTGTTCTGCAGACAGGGCAGTGATAAGATGTCAATGATATAGACTTTGTGAAATGTGGTGTAATTTTGAAATACTAATGAATGAGTGAACTTGAGTTGCAGTGTGGTTTTCTTTTTCATGGTTATCTGGAATGTTGGCGGATTCTTTGAAAGTGCATATTATTTAACTAGTAAGCCGTAGGGCTGAATGGAAGAGAATCCCCCCTCATCCAAGTATCACGATGGATGAGAGGGATTCTCTGTAATGAAGCCCGGAGGCTGGAGAGTTAAATACTCTCCCAAGTCTCTGGGTTTCTATTTCTGCTGTTTAGTTTTGGATCTCCCACCCTATAGTTGCACACAATCTGCCAACATTTCTCTTTGAAATAAGCGTGTGTCTAGGCTTGGTTATGTCTTTTTATATGGTGCCCTCTCACATGGGTCAGGCACGTGCAATGCAATATCGATAAGATAATTTTCAACTTTGAACTTCAGTGTCGCGCACCCAACAGGTTGACAAGTGCATATTATTTAACTCTCAAGCCTCCGGGCTTCATTACAGAGAATCCCTCTCATCCATCGTGATACTTGGATGAGGCGGGATTTTCTTGACATTATTTTATTTGTATTTGTTTCATCGAGATATCATTCCCTTTATAAATGATGAATTTATTTTAAATTTGTGCACTTCAGGACCACTGTTAGATTAACTCAAGCGTCTCTGTGATTCAGTGATGTCACGAGAAACTGTAAGGTAGACAAGTTTCCGCTTCACATTATTTCTGTTTAGCAATGGCCACCATCAACAGGTTGGTTGTTCTGCCATGATACTGGGGTGCGCATGTTAAGATTGTTCTTACAAAATGATAAAAACTGGTTAAAAATGAAAAAAAGTTTTCATACAGGAACTTTGTCACCTTGGCTTTGAAGGCCTCAGGTGATGGAGAAAACATTATTCACGGCGGCAAGGCATTTCAGTCTCGGCTGGTACGTGGGGAAATGAATGTTTACAAAGTCGTTCCTAGTTGATGGTTGTTGATAAATAACTGTTTTTGTTCATATTTCGTGCTATACGTCAAGGTTTAAGAGACACCCTTCTGTTTTAATGGCTACTTTTCCTGTGTGGATCTTGTAGAATAACGCTAGTCAAGCACCCTTCCTTCTTTCCTCTAGTGACCTCCATTTTAGATGTTGTCTCAGTGACACTATAGCGGTTCCCATTCTTGTTCGTGACGTCTCTAGCACTTCGTCGTTAGCTTGTCTATTTCATTTTGATGGTAAGGGTCCCAAGCGGGCTAGTGTATTCGACTAGTGGTCACACTTAGGTTTGGTAGACGTTTGTCTTTAACTCATGTCGCGCTGGTGTTTAAGGAACGTTTTAGGAACCCCAGTGTCTTTTTACAGATGCTATTTACATGTTCGTTCCTCTGTAGATCTGACTGTTCAGTCAGCGTTGTGTACTGATGCTTTGATGTGTCAAGGTAACTTAAAGGATATAAATATTGCTGATGGTTAAGACATTGCATATCTCTGGGTGGAATGACATTTTCCAGGTAGATTACCAGATGGGTCATTCTGAAGGACATCAAAGTTTGTATCCGAGGAAATGGTAAGGTACACTATTGTTTCATCAGCGAATAGTCGTACGGTTGATTTCATCTCCTCAGACATGTCGTTTGATGTAAAAGAGGAACAACGACGAGTCAAATAGACTCCCGTGGGCGACCACTGATTCTACATCAATGTTTGGCGAGTGCTTTCCATCGACGACTACTGACTGTGATCGATTCCGCAGGAAACGTTTGATCCACCGGTTGGCCTTAGTCTAATACCATAATGTGTTCGTTTGTGGATGAGGTGGCTATGATTGACCCTTTCAAAAGCATTGAAGAAATACATAACAGGGATATTGGTTATCTCATACTGTTCGTGACGCCATCTGCAAATTCGACCAGTTGCGTTTCACATGATCTTTTGCTACGAGAGCCATCTTGTAAGTGATATAGTTAATGTTATGTTAATCAGTGTGAGACATAGTAGGGGTATTGACTATGTCCTCCATTACAGCAGACAGAAGTTAATGACAGTTTCCTGTGTTATATTTCTTCCTTTTCTTTTGTAGACTGGACCGACGTTTGATGCTCGCCAATCTGATCGGATTACTCCTGTATCTAATGAGATGATAAAGATGTCTATTCTGATGACAGTTCCTTATTTCCCTTGGTTTTGTCTCGTCCGGATGCTTTATTAGGATTGATGCTTCTTAGGAACTTGAGTAGGTCATTTTCCTTCCTTGATGTGTAGGCTCTTTTCTGGGGGAAAGTCCCTGTCGTATTACAGCGTGTAGTGAATTCGTAACTTGTGTAATCGTCTTTTGAGGAAAATGCTGATTAAAACTTACTTTTGAGGATTGTTGCTGGATTGCAATGTATGATGCCTTCGCTTCGGAGGGTCCAATGGTGGTTCTCTTTTGTTTGATATAGGCATACTGAAGTTTCATTAATCATTCTCACGAGTGGTTACCATGTTTGTATATTTCCAGTAGGTCCGTCTCAGTTCTCTTTGGACCGTTTGAGTTCCTTATCTTAAGCTGTTTCGTACAGCTATATACCTTGTTTCTTTGGCGTATAAGTCGTTTGATCTCTGATGTTAACCATGGAAGACCATCTATAGGCTAAGTAAGCTTGTGTGTAGTGTGTGTTGTTAGGCTGTGTTCGAGGCCTTTCTAAAACAGGGTCCAAAAGGCCTCGATTGTGTCGCCGATTGAAGCTTGTCTTTATATTATGTTGTATCTGATTTTAGTTTATTACAGTTAGCTCGTCTATATAATGGGATCTTACGATGGGCCTGTGTCCTCGTTGTTGGTTTGATGTCGACCTCAGAGAAGTCGAGATCGTGGTCTGATAGCCCCGGAATAACCAAGATACATGTGAAACGTGAAGGATTTGAAAGGATCTCTAGGTCGTGTGTATTGGTTACATGTGTTGGTTCTTCGACTAGCTGGACCACCCCGTGCTCGTCTAGAATGTAATGGATACTTGGACAGGGTGACTCAGGAATTAGGACCCAGGTTTCCAGTCCCATCCTGGTAGGTTGAAGTCGCCTCCGATAATGCTGAAAGCGTTATTACTCCTACCTGCTCTCACTATAATTCGTCCTAAACCTTGTACACTGAACTCGTTAGATGTCTTTGGGTTGTAGTATAATGTAATAAGTAGATGTTTGGATGCTACTAGGCTGACCTTGGTCCATACTATTTCAGTCTGTTTGTAGTTCTGGCTCGGGTGAGGTAAATAGGACGTTAGTGATAGCAATCATCATACCTCAACCATTAACATATCGGTCCTTCCGATAAACTTTGTAGATCAGTAGGAGTATCTGGTCATCAGTAATGCTGGGGTCGATCCAGATTTCTGAACCTAGTATGATATCTAGTTTTGTGTTCTCTATCAGGTTTTTAACTTGACCTTGTTTAGATTTAATAGACTGGAAGTTAACAGTAGAATTTTGTAGAGGAGGAATATTCCTTCTCTTGCCTTTGGTTTTGTCTGGAGTAGACGCATGAATGGGTCGGATACATTAAGATAATTTGATGGCTTTGTGGATATCTTTCAGAAAAATACTCGTATTTCACTGATCGTTTTATTGAATAAATTCTAGAGTATGAATACTTTTCAATACACCGATGTGTTTGTTTAGTTGCAACTCATCGACGTAACAATGATACCGAGATACGATTATTAAGGGGTCCGAAACTAATGTACCAAGGATATATTTCGTGTATTTCACACAATGTCGTAACACACTGACTTACGTTTAAGACTGTTTCATATAATTATGGCTACAACACGAACTTCAGTTTTCATAAAGTATTAGAATAAAACGATACGTCTTTCTGCAAATCATTCAACTTGTTTCCTCTTTAGTCGAAGCAATTCTCGTCGTTCATGATGACCGCAATGACCTTTATTTGTACGTATGTGGTATGATTTAACCTCATCGGCCATTAATTCCAGTTGAGCTAGGACATCGATAATCGATGACGTGAAGACTCTTGATATCTATCAGTACAGACCTAAATCGATGGATGTCTGTCCTGTTGTCCGTTTCTGTACAATCCATACATTTCAGGGATTTATTCCCGTGACTACACTGGCTGAGTCGTGATCGCATTGCAACGTCCAAAACAAATCGTCCGTATAAAGATACAGTTAAGATTATTTTTATACATTATACAGTATGCCTACGTGTTCCTGTTGAGATCTAGCCTTACTGCACTCTCTAGGTTCGTTCTAGCCTTCAGGTCACGTCCATCCTTTCTAACATACACATGATATACACGGCTAGGAAGCCAGCTCGTGAAGAAACGGAAATGACGTCAATTACTTGAGCCCCATTAGTTTCCGGTTGATGTTTTTTCCCGTATACTTTTCTTATGTGACTTTCAAGCAAAATTTAAGACTGTAGCAAAGTCATATGTAATCATTCTTTTGATATTTTGTGTGTGAACCTGATTTGTACATGAGAATTAAAACACCTTTTAATCGAGCTGATGACTAGATTATACAAAAAAACTGATTTCACTTTCATGTATTTTATACATGATGTAGAGAGATCGCTAAAGCTGAAAAAACTCTTTTACGTGTAAATTCAAGGCACACTGAATGATACAGAGCCCGATATCATACCATCGCAGTTATTCACCTTGTAGTTGCGGTCGAATTCTATCTTTATTTTAAAGAACTATTGACATGATTAAAACCCTTATCTTCAGGTATAAAGTAATCATGTTATTTAGTCTAAACAATAGTCGTTATGGTTTTTCATACAACATTCAGTAGTAGAATTCATGATGAAGTCTTTTTCTATCCTTTTTAACACTCTCGTGTAATTTCCTACCACACCGGTATACAATAGAAGTTCTTAAAACACAACCAGCAGGAAATCAGAGTGTAACGTTTCCATGACTACACTGTTACCTTAATCTTATAACACAACCAGTAGGAAATTAGAGTGTAACGTTTCAATAACTACACTGTTGCCCTCATCTTATAACACAACCAGTAGGAAATTAGAGTGTAACGTTTCAATAACTACACTGTTACCTTTATCTTATAACACAACCAGTAGAAGATTAGAGTGTAACGTTTCAATAACTACACAGTTACCTTCATCTTATAACACAACCAGTAGGAAATTAGAGTGTAACGTTTCAATAACTACACTGTTGCCCTCATCTTATAACACAACCAGTAGGAAGTTAGATTGTAACGTTTCAATAACTACACTGTTACCTTTATCTTATAACACAACCAGTAGGAAATTAGAGTGTAACGTTTCAATAACTACACTGTTGCCCTCATCTTATAACACAACCAGTAGGAAATTAGATTGTAACGTTTCAATAACTACACTGTTACCTTTATCTTATAACACAACCAGTAGAAGATTAGAGTGTAACGTTTCAATAACTGCACTGTTCCCCTCATCTTATAACACAACCAGTAGGAAATTAGAGTGTAACGTTTCAATAACTACACTGTTGCCCTCATCTAATAACACAACCAGTAGAAGATTAGAGTGTGACGTTTCCATGACTACACGGTTACCTTCATCTTATAACACAACCAGTAGAAGATTAGAGTGTGACGTTTCCATGACTACACGGTTACCTTCATCTTATAACACAACCAGTAGAAGATTAGAGTGTGACGTTTCCATGACTACACGGTTACCTTCATCTTATAACACAACCATTAGAAGATTAGAGTGTGACGTTTCCATGACTACACGGTTACCTTCATCTTATAACACAACCAGTAGAAGATTAGAGTGTGACGTTTCCATGACTACACGGTTACCTTCATCTTATAACACAACCAGGAGAAGATTAGAGTGTGACGTTTCCATGACTACACGGTTACATTCATCTTATAACACAACCAGTAGAAGATTAGAGTGTGACGTTTCCATGACTACACGGTTACCTTCATCTTATAACACAACCAGTAGAAGATTAGAGTGTGACGTTTCCATGACTACACAGTTACCTTCATCTTATAACACACCCAGTAGAAGATTAGAGTGTGACGTTTCCATGACTACACGGTTACTTCATCTTATAACACACCCAGTAGAAGATTAGAGTGTGACGTTTCCATGACTACACGGTTACCTTCATCTTATAACACACCCAGTAGAAGATTAGAGTGTGACGTTTCCATGACTACACGGTTACCTTCATCTTATAACACAACCAGTAAAAGATTAGAGTGTGACGTTTCCATGACTACACGGTTACCTTCATCTTATGTTCTTGTAGTTCTATTCCTTCACATTTGATTCAGTTATGGATTGATACATGCGGTATTTAAAGATTGATATTTGATATGCAAGTACAGAACTATGTAGATTTCAGTCCAAAACGTTTCCTTTGTCACGTTTAATTCAATCTAATAATAGCACATACGCCTGTACTTAACGTTCTGCTAAACAGATGGGACCAGTGCAACTCTTCATTTAGATTTTGACTTTCTTTCCATGACTTTGGATTTTCCTCAATTGCCTCCAAGGCTTCGAAATTCAGGACCTTGGCATCACCGACCAGATCGGCCTACAGCTGTATGATGAAGTCTAGCTGAAGAGATCGGCCTACAGCTTTATGATGAAGACTAGCTGAAGAGATTGGCCTACAGCTGTATGATGCATCATCACTGACGAGATCGGCCTACAGTTGTATGATGAAGACTAGCTGAGGAGACTGGCCTACAGTTGTATGATGAAGACTAGCTGAGGATATCGGCCTACAGCTGTATGATGCAGCATCACTGACGAGATCGGCCTACAGCTGTATGATGCAGCATCACTGACGAGATCGGCCTACAGCTGTATGATGCAGTATCACTGAGGAGATCGGCCAACAGCTGTATGATGTAGCATCACTGACGAGATCGGCCTATAGCTGTATGATGCATCATCACTGACGAGATCGGC